TGAATCCCAAATGATTATTAGGTGATTGGCGTAGAAGTTGGGGTAAAAAAATCCCCACTTCACTGCCCATTCCTACGCCACTGACCAACAAAGATTTGTAAATTTTACAGTAAATTATACACATGTGTAAATGTTAACACCACACCAAATTTGAATCAATTTGTTATAAGCATACCAACGATTTCGTAAATAATATGATTTAACAACCGTCCAATACGGCCCTGTACAGTGAAAACTGCGGGACTTAGATCCTTGCTTTATAATGCAATTCTGAAATATTTATTGAGTTCAAATTTGTGGTTAAAGTTTGATTCACTCAAACTGAAACACCCTGTATACCTACTCGTGGTCCATTTACTATCATCCCTTAACAACATAATACAATATTTTGAAAATCAAGCAGGATGATGAAAAAAGAAACAGGAGGTTGTTATGTAAATAAGAGAATGGACAAATAGATATTATTTTAACTATAAATTTTGTAAAGCTTGTAAATGCTCCGACAGTATTTTAAGGCGATACCTAAACCCTTTTAAAACAACGAGACTTTATTCTTTGACAGCAAGAGTTTTTGAAATCTGCACATTTCCACAGTGGTGACCCCGACCGAAGAACATTCTGGATAACATTTTATATGTGAATACGATACTATAAGTGAAATTTATTCCTGACCTTGATATTTCTCAGAAAATGGAAAATTAGTGCTTTTTCCTGCTAAAAAATATATTTTCAAATCCTTATTTAAATCTTTAGCGTAAATTTAACTCCACAAAAATTTATTTATTGATTATGTGGTTTTACCTCTATATAAAAAAAACTTCAGGCAAAATTGCTGTAACAACGTTATAAAAACTTTGAACTAGGTAGATCACAGGAATGCCTAAAAATTCATTTCACTTTGTTTTTTTTTAATAATTAGTACTTAGATAATAATTAGCCCTGTTTAATGTTCGGCCTACGGGAGCTTTTTCTTATGTGGAGTTGCTCTAAATAGGTCTGGGTAATCCAAAGATGAAACGGCCTTTTGTTAGTTCTTTCAGCTCTAATAAATAGATAGGATCCTCCCATTTAACCGAATCTAAAGCTATCAAAGCCCGCAGACAGCCCGGCCTTCCGAATTTTGTATATCAAAGGATAACTCGCTGCAAGTCTGCAATATACCGGAAAGCTTAGGTAGTAATTTATCCCCAGGGAGTCATCCTTTAAGGGCTTTTATATAATTGGCGTACTATGAATGAAACTACGTCTCACATGCCCCATTGATTCCTTCTACATAGTGGTTTGTGTCACAGCGTCATTATGAGCCAGCGATTCATCAACCGCTGAAAACAAATTTTGAAGTCATCAGTTGGAAGTATATTTCCAGGAGTAGTACGTAAAAATAATTGAAAAACGTATTTCCTTTGATGATGTGTAAGTACCCTAATACCAGCTAATGTGAATGAGCTTTTTTGTATCCTATTAACATTTGTCAAAGGGTGGGAATATAAAAGACATGCATGTCCAGATGTTTGCGAACACAGCCACTCCTGCTTTGTCATGCTCTTTGTGGTGGACATGTAGAAACCTAGTGGGCCAATTACTCTTTTGTATTTGGTATGTCCCAGGACAAAAGCCGCTGTCAAAGCAAATAAGTAGAAAAATAAATTGAGAGGCTCGAGTTGTTTGGCTAATTTGTAAGTACCTCTGCAATTAGACATATTATTTTAATGCAATTTTAAAGAACCGAACTTCTTTGTAATTAAATTATTGCTTTATTTGTGATCATTTCAGGGGCAAAATTATAACCAACAAATGTTATTTTTTTTACTAAATTTGGCCAACGGCGTCGTTATATCCATAATACTCAACCTTACTGAAGTTTTATAGGTGGCAAGAAAACATATTATTATAGATTTTATTGTCAATAAATAAGTACACTAGGTGTTTCAGTGTTGAAGTGACAAAAGTCTAGGGGAGATTCAGCAAAATATGTAAAAAGTTAATATGAACATGGGTCCGCAAGTGTTTCGTTTCCGAGATACAGGGTGTTATTTTTTTTAAATTGAGTTTAAAAAAACGCTTCAGTCGATTTCAATGAAATTTTTACGGTTTATTAAAACAATTATCATTCATCAACTGGACCGATTAAATTTGATCCAGAATTTTCAGGGGAGTACCCATGAAGCAAGTCTTTTTTTTTTTGTAGAAAAGAATATCACCCTATAGTTATTTGTAGTTTTTATGTAATATTCAGATAAACCCACTAAAAATCGTATATTTGTGTCTCTTGAATATTTTTCGTGTCTCGCTTCGTTTTTATTTTATTTATTCTTTTCGACAAATAATTCTGGATCAAATCTAATTGGTCCAGTTGATGTATGATATGCTTAATGTTTCAATAAACCGTAAAAATTTCATTCAAATCGGTTAAAAAACTTAATTTAAAAAAAAAATTAACACCCTGTATCTCGGAAACGAAGCACTTGCGGCACATGTTCATATGAATTTTTTTTACATATTTTGCTGAATGGAATCTCTCCTAGGCTTTTGTCACTTCGACTCTGAAACACCCGGTATATGGAAGAATGTTTAGGTATTAGTCGATTATCGCAAAATTAGAGTGCCAAACATAGAAAGCTGTCTTTTAATTTTCTATCTGTTTTTGACATTACAAATACTGTATAAAATTACATTATTTTTCAAAATTTCAAAGAATGTCAAGAAGAAAAGTTTATTTTACCGTTTAGCAACACACTAATGTTAAGCTCTCTATTTTTTTGTTTTTTACAATTTTTTTATCCTTTTTTTTCTTAAAGGAATATAAAATAATAATAGAATTATTTTTTTTATCATTTTAGCCTAAATTATGAGTTTATTAGTACGAAATTGAAAAAAAAAATTCTCTGACATTTTCAAAATTATGAGATACAACTTCGGAATTTGGAGAAAATTAACTTTGACAGGTATAGAAAATATCGATGATGTACATTATCGCATAATTTAGTATAAGTTTTTAAACTAAAACGATTGGAAAAACAAACATTTTTAAAAATCGTTTAAGAAAATGCTTTCAATTCTACTATATAGGATCACCTAGAAAACAGTGGTTGAACGTCATACAGAGATTAAGACCAGTTTTATCGTCCAAAGAGTGTTAAAATATTACTTTTGAAAAAAATAGTCTGGTATTCCAGATATTATCTTGGCAATTTAATTGTCAATTCCACAGAGATCTTTTTTCAATTTCTCTTAAAATATTTATATTTTGATTGAAAAGAGAATATAAAATTTACTGCTTTGAAGATATTTGCGTTAGAGTAAAGCAAATCATTTTCATCAATATAAAATCAAGCTTCTGACATTTTTGAAGTAAGGGATTATTTTTTAATTTTTCTTTTAGTTATTTTCCTCGAAATTTAGCAAATTTAAAAGTAATTGACAAGACGAATTTTTGTGTGAAACTAATTAAGGGCCCCATATTATTTAAATAGTGTTTTTCTCAAAGACAAATAATTTCAAAGATTTAATAACGGAATAATCTAAAGCATATCAAATAATAGGAATGTTATGTCATGCCACCTGAGTATTTTCAAAGACGCCACAGTAAAACGAATAAACAGGTGCAAAAAACGATCAAACTATCAAGGTTTTAGGTACTGAAATCTACGAAAATACTAACTTTTTTATATATAATTCCACATGTAAATATTCTTATAACATTTACTTGCTTAGTCCTTCATATAAAATTGTTTACCTTTATTTATAAGTACGTGAAAATAATTCTTAAAATGTGGGGTTAGGATAACAGAAAACGCATGTTTTACGAACGCTGTTTTTAGTTATTATTTTATTTGGGTAAATTTAAATGGGAACAATGAATAAACAACACATCAAGGATTTTATTTTTGTGCTTACTTTTGTTCTACACGTTTTACTTTTCAAGATTTCAGTACCTAAAAATGCCAGAAATTTCACCATTTCTCGGCCAGGGATATGGCCACCTTAAGTAAATCGGATAAATGACAAACTAGACTCTACCTTAGAAATGAACGGTTGTAACTCAAATAAAATTTTGTCGAAAAATGTTTTTTTTCTGGGTACAGGTTTTTTTCTAATTTGACATAAACATACTAATGCGGATCCCGTAAATTGACCGATAATTAAATGAATACCCTACGCAGGGTCCTGTTGAAGTACTTCCACTAACAGGCGAGTTCGCGTTATTGCGATATAGTGATAACACAATATCTCGCAAAGGCATTCACTCAGGCGCATTTGCAATATTAAAGAGGCACTTTTGTCAGTTTGAAGAGGAGGGAACCCCACAAATGCACTTGAGTGGATGCTTTCTCGAGATACGTTCTTGTCGCGATAATGCAACAACGCAAACGCGCATCTGTTTGGAGTAAGGAGGAACTTTAGCAAGCTATTACGTTATTAGATGTCCAATGACGAATTGAATTTAAGCATCTTCCTCGTGAAACACGTCTTGCATAACTAAATCTGCAGTTCGATGGGGATAGGAAGGTACCTGGTGATCTTATAGACATACCTACAAATATCTTCAGGATAAAATCAAACTACTAGCCAAGTGAAATCTACGTCTGCTGTCGGCATTCGGGACTACGAGGCAATAAAAAAGGAACGTTTTGACCCCCTGCAAAAGATGGTATTTAGTGTAGAATTGTACGTTTGATATGTGGAATCCGTTATCAAACAATTTTGTATGAGCACCTGCAATTAACTCCTTGAAATCTAGACTAGGTCAATATTTAAACTTGCTTGATTCCTTTAACTTTTGTATGTAACGATCGTATTGTATTTATATTCATATTTAAATTTAATTAATGTAACTGAATCTTTCAGTCTTGATTGAACTAAAAATGGCAATATCTTTGTCCAATATGTTGTTGATGTTAGAAAAAGAGAACTAAATAATCAGTTCTTCACAAAATAAAGACCAGACACTCCCAAAGCCATCATCTATATTGAAAACTGAACCCTTCTTCTTGTTTCAGGTTGTAGAGAGACCGCATTCATTTACGCAATTACTTCTGCTGCTGTAACGCATGCAATAGCGAGAGCATGTAGTGAAGGCACCATTGACACCTGCAACTGTGAAACTCACTATCGAGAAAGACCTCAAGTATTTGCGAATGGTAACAACGCTGCCGTGGCCAATGTCAGGGATTTCGAGTGGGGTGGGTGTTCCGATAATATAGGATTTGGTTTCGATGTCAGTCGCGAATTCGTCGACACCGGAGAAAGAGGGAAGTCTTTGAGGGAAAAAATGAACTTGCACAACAACGAGGCTGGAAGATGGGTAAGTATACAAAATCTAAAGCTATATGGGTTTTTTAGGGGACAGAAATATTTGTTCCGACTTACATTTTTCTTTAGGATTTTTTTATTATTTATGTTTAAAAACTAAAGAACTTATCTTAACCTAATATTTAAATGCAATATGTAAATTTACTGAAAAAGTTTTTAGGCAAACTTTACGAAAATAAACCACATTCTCTTTAAACAATCATCGATAGCGCTCCTACATAGATCAGGTCACCTTAAAATAAAAATCGACGAGCCCCAGTATTCTCCTCAAAAAATATTATCTGAATCTATTAGACTCACTGTATGGATTCATTGTTGAAGGGTCTCGATTACTATTACACAAAGTTGTCATTTTCATAAACGTTAGTCACTTTTTTGGGATAATTCTAACAAACTATACGTTTTTGTAAAGCCAAAAAAAAATACTAGAAGAATACAGGACAAAAATTTTGTCATGTGAGTTAAAAACTGTTATATTTATTAAAAATGTGAATACGTTCTATATGCAAAAAAATCTATACGAAAAAATGTAAACTTTCATACAAAAATATCAGAATTTTCATTTTGTGTATATAATTGAAAAACATACAGAAATTTTGTTTCATCGTGAAGATGTCTCTTAAAAAGTGGCCTTCGTGGAAAATGACAATTTTTTCCTTTAATAGCAATCGAGATACCTAACATGATATCGAAAATAGAATGTAGGTACTGTACATAGAAGTTTATGGCTGTCTAAAATAGAAATTATTAATATTTTTATTACTTGTTTTATAGATGTACGGTATGTTATTAATAAATATATGATTTCAGAGTTCTCATAAAAACATTATCTTCTGTTTTATTTTATGAGAAATCATATACGCAATTATTAAAATATTGAGAAATACCATTTAATAATGTCAGTTTTATAAACGGGAAATACTACAATGTGTAGGTATCATAGTCATTAGTTCAAACAGATATCTACATAGCGGTTGAAATTAAAATAGTTTCTCTTAACTTGAATAAACTGAAGGATTGGTGCAAGCGTTATTCACACTGTACAGGGTGATCATCCTGTCTATACCTTTAAGAGCGATGGTACATAAAAAATAAGGGTATCTTTTTATATACCTACTCTTTTTGTCCGAAAATCTATTATATATTATATATATATAATATTGCTTGCTAAATAGATAGATACCATATTATTTTCGGAATCTTAAAGTCATATATGTATCCTATTCATATTTTAAATTTTAACTCAGGCCATAAGAGTTTTTGTCATTAAAAAAAGCATATCATAACATGCATATGCTTTGAAGTATTAGATATTTCGAATAATTTATATAAAACAGGCGCTTTAGTTGTGATTCCGCTTAAACTAATTTTTTAAAATTTAGTGTGATTGTTGAAGAAACGAAGCAGACTTTCAAGAAATAATAATATGGATAAAACAAACTAACCTGCACTTTTACTGCGACACTAGAGAATCTTGAAATTTGCTTAGAATAAATACAAATATCTTCTATTAAGAAGTTTTCAGACCACATGCAGCCACAAGACGAAATAATTGATGATAGAAAACAAATGGCCGACAGTTTCGATAATGTTTTTACAAATTCATGTCAATATTTGATTTTAAGAACAAATATAAGCAAAAGTATCGATATACCCTCTAATTCAAATTCATTTTCTTATCGAATATATCAATTAATGAAGTGTATATTATAATCAAGCAATTTTCAGGAAAAAGATCCATTACTAATGGAAGTATCAAGTCTCCTGTCTCACTTGTTTGTTAAATATTTCATTTGAAAACGGTTATTTACCTTATCAATTAAAGTCTACAATGATTGTGCCACTTCATAAAAAAGATGATGTTAGTAAAACAGAAAATTACCTACAGTATTTTCAAAAATGTAAGAGATTAAGTTCTTCTATTTTTAGCAATACTATTGAGTCAATGAAAACCACAAAACCATCGGCATATTTTACGATCTATCGATAGCTTTTGATAGCTCATTGGCCATGCTCACTTACTCAATAAACTTGAAAAGTAAGGTATTGTGGCTCACCGCTATTGTGAATATCATCGTATCTAAGTGATAGAAGCCAAATTGAAAGGGTTAAAGTTTGAGATGTTGTATATATCCAAAAAGATTCTAGTGGACACCGGGGTATCACAAGGGAGTGTTTTAGCCCCAACTCTATTTATTTTCTTTACAAATGACCTTTCTCTTATACTTGAGGATATTTGTTCTAGCTCAAAGGATGAACGTGATTTATGTAGATTATTATCGGAGGCATGCGTTGCTCAAACGGAAAACTGGTGTTGTCAAAACTGAACTTAACAAAAACACATTTTTATAATATTTTCATCTATGGGGACACATGATGACAATAGCTTATGGCCTCCACCTTCTATTAGTATTATTTAATAATCATTCAGCAAAATGGTCTCCTGAGGCATCATTAGAAATAGCCAGGTTCAGGTGAGGACACTAGCGCGCGAACTATTTTGGGAATGAAAAGAAATAAGTCTTGTTTGACGTTCCAGCGACAAGTTTTAGGCTACGAGCCAATCATAAATTAGCGTAATTACTTTCTTATAAACTACTTAAGCAATGAAATACTCGAGCGCGGAAAGATTTACGGATCTGTTACGCGACGGAAAATTTATACGCGAATAAATGGACATTAAATAAAAATGAGCAAATGAGGTTTAATTCTGTATGGGACATTAAATATAAACTGTAGCCGCTCTTGAGGCCGGTTATTTGTACCCGTACACGTACACGTCTATTAAAATTAATGCCTCGTTTAATATATTCGTTTGAAAAGATGTTACCACTATTTAGTCTAGTGCTGGTAAATGTCTTCTTAACAAATCGCGGTGCCGCAATCATTTTTCAAAGTGACAGCCATCGGTTCACGTTCCAATATTTATGTTGCCAGTCGTGATTGCACGAATTCTGGGTGAGATATATTTCTTTGAAGTCGATAGCACTAATGAGAGGCGATATTCCTCCGATTTATCGTCTTCAATTAATTTCGCTGATAGGGAGAGAAGTCGAGGGTGACTTACAACCGACTAATTTTGGTTTATTAACACGCACCACGCTTCTGATAAACAACATTATTTTTAAGTGCTTCTTAGCACACATATCGCTTTCTCTGGTTCATTATTCAAGTATTTTTAGAAGAAAAAAGTCTCATGCTTCATTATGACCCGAACTACTGCGCACATAAATTACATAATTTATGCAAATTGATAAATGGCCACAAATGTAGCAACGGCACGCTTTTCCATAAATAATACAACTTAATTAAACGCTACCATATATTCGCAACCAAATCAAGGAATATTTCCTCATAATATTATGACATTTTTGGACAGCGGTATATGATTAAGTTTTTTTATGAGAACATAAATGAAAACATGTATAATAGTTACGTTTTTATTAATTCGTGTACACAGTATGTCCTCAACCAAATGAACTTCAAAAGATACTCAGATCACTGATTTTTCAAGTGGGAAGTTGATCTTTTTTTTATTTACAGTTTCGAGAAATACTGCAAAATAATTAGAATTTAATGGAATATAGAAAATGAGACGATTTTTTCCAACGGGCCTTTTATTTTTAAAATACACAACATCAAAGATATTTTTTAGAATAGAATTACATATATATCCATATTTTTTCAAAGAGCAATGATTTTTATTGAATTTTGAAAGTTTTTGAGGTTGAGGTTTTGAGGTTTGGACCATCTGCTAGAGATTGTTAGCTACTATTTCTTACAGTGTCATACATACTTTTTTTGAGGTTACCTATGTATTTTTATAATTTGTTTTGATATACTTTTCTAAGGTTAGGTTTCTTTTACAATGAATTTCAATTTTTAGATATTTTACAGTGTATTTCGAAATAAAGTTCTTTGTACATAAAAAATAATATAAATATATATATGTAATAAATAAAGTCCTTTGTACATAATAAAAAAAAATATATTTGAACCTACATAAAAAAAGGTACCTATACTCTAGTTAAAATCAAGGAAAATGCATCATTTCCGAGGAAAACACAATTGACTGTCTATAGCTTCCATTTTTGTCTCTAGCTTCTATGTTTGTCTCTAGCTTCTATTTTCGTCTGTAGCTTCTTTTTTTTGTCTCTAGCTTCTATTTTTAATATACAGAGAGTCCGAAAACGAAAGGGCGTCAAGGCTCAGTGGCAATATTTGAGGATCAGAACCCATTTTTGTCTCTAGCCTCTATGTTTGTCTCTAGCTTCTATTTTCGTCTGTAGCTTTTTTTTTTGTCTCTAGCTTCTGTCTTTAATATATAGAGAGTCGGAAACGAAAGGGCTTCAATATTTGAGGATCAGAACCCCTCCTACAGTTAAGCAATTCACACAGTTGAAAAAGGAGCTGATTAATCGGTGATTACGAATAAATAAATTTTTAGAGGTATAGGGTGTCCCAAATTAGTATTAAATTGGTTCAATTACGGACTTGAAATATTAATTAGATATTCCAACTAATTCTTGAAATATAATAAACTGGAAAAAACACTTTTCTTCATTTATAATGAGACAGAAGAAGAAGAAGAAGAAGAAGAAGAAGAAGAAGAAGAAGAACTCATGAAATCTTCTGGAGGATTATTAGTATATTTTCATCCAAGGGAGCTACCCTTGTGGCAACCTATATTAAAGAATAAAAGCTGGTCGACTTTGGAACAGTCAATTTCAAAAAAGGTGTGTCATAAAATGTCACTGAGAAAAATTGTAACTAACGACCCCTAGCGGATGTTCAAACACTAACAACAGTAACTTATATAGCTCTCTCAAAAACTTAACTGTTTCAATGCATTTCACTGTTTTTCAGAAAATATATGTCTAATTTATAATATATTCTTTCATATATAAAAAAATAGAGACGATAGATGCATGGTTCACAGAAAAAAATCGTCTTGTATTCTTATATTCTAAGCTCCTAAATTTATGGTATGTT